GCCTGCGGGGTGGGTGCAGAGGGTGGTTCTTACCCTGAGAGCCTGGAAGAGCAAACATTGCAAAACAGGATGCAAAAATCAGAGCATATGGAATCTGAACAGCCATTGACAGCCACACCTACGCAAGCTCCCACACCACATCTGTTGTCTGGGCAAGCACAATCAGCCTTAGCCCCAAAGAAATGCCAAAGCTCAAAGGCATTCTTGATTTGGGCTGTAATCCTCCCAACCTGGACATTGCCAAAAATTGGAGGACTACAGTCAGGTCCAGCTCCCTTTCACCCTCCTAAATGTAGCTTCACTCTGAGTCACTAATTCCCTAATACGTCCTTCCCTTTTCTAACTATGGCAACACCACTGGAGCAGCGTCTCCTCTACTGATGATCTTGCCAAACCCTACCCATTCTTGGGGGCTCAGGTGACGGTCAGCCCCCTTCTCCCAGAAGCAGTTTGTGATTTTTTGTGCCCAGAATGGTCTTCTCCCTACTCTGACTCTACACACTGTCCCACTTAGCCCACCTGCCTACACCGCCATCTAGAGGCACGCAGGACCCACGAATTTCACTTCCGTGCTGCAACCTGGCACTTCACTCTTGCCTGTAGTTAAATTCAGTAAAATATCCACTGACTCCGCTCCAGGCATTTAAGATACAGAAATGATTAAATCCCAGCCCTGCTTTTGTGGGACCCACAAGCTAAATGAGAAAGGACAACACCAAATGAAATTCTACAAATAAATTTGTCATAATAGAGTACACGATTGGATCCAAAACAGTGCAGCCCTATCACCCTATTTACAGCCTTCAAATCATTTAGCTTAATCTGTGGCCATTGTTTGTTCATTTATTTGCAGTCAGCCCATCCCTGGTAGGAGACACTAGCATAGGGATGTTGTCTGTCTGGTTCACCACTGTCCCCAGCACTCCAGATGGACTCGAGCACAGAGACACTCTCATTGAAAGCTGTATTTGTGGAAGGAAGTAAAGAGAGAGGTAGGCAAGTGTCATGAACTATAAGAACCAAGCCCAGCTTGAGGTTCAGGCAATGCTTCCGTGACAGGGAGGCAGCTATGATCTGAAGTGTGAGTGAGGGCCAAACAGAGGGTGTGAGGCCCAATCCAGAAGAGGAACAGCATGAGCTAAGGTAAGAATGGCAAATCAGCATGACCAAGGGAGTGGGGGCAGAGCCCTTAAATATTGCTATAGACCAGCAGCTCTTAAAAGGGGATGATTTTGCCCCCTGGGGGCACTTGGCAATGCAAGGAGACTTTTTAAACTGTTTTTTATTTGTTTTTGTTTTTAGAGACAGGGTATCACTCTGACACCCAGGCTGGAATGTGGAGTGCAGTGGCACGATCTCAGTGCACTGCAACCTCCACCTCCTGGGTTCAAACAATTCTCATGCATCAGCCCCTGGTGTAGCTGGGATTACAGGCACACACCACCATGCCGGGCTAATTTTTATATTTTTAGTAGACACAGAGTTTCATCATCTTGGCCAGGCTAATCTCAAACTCCTGACCTCAAGTGATCTGCTGGCCTCAGCCTCCCAAAGTTCTGGGATTACAGGAGTAAGCCACCACACCCAGCCGACTTTTTAAATTGTTAAGACTTAGGACAGGAAATGCTGCTAGCATCTACTAGATAGAGTCCAGGGATGCTGCTAAGCATTGTACAATGTCCAGAGCAGCTCCCCACAACAGCCATCTGATCTAAAATGTCAGTAGTGACCAGGCACTGTAGCTCACATGTATAAACCCAGTGCTTTGGGAGGCTGAGGTTAGGCGTTCAGGACCAGCCTGGGTAATATAGTGAAATCCCATCTCTACAAAAAATTTAAAAATTAGCCAGGTATGGTGGTGCATATCTGTAGTCCCCGCTACTCAAGAGGCTGAGACAGGAGGATCGTTTGAGCCCAGGAGTTCAGGGCTACAGTGAGCTATGATTGTACCACTGTACTCCAGCCTGGGTAATGGAGCAAAACCCCATCACTAAAAAATAATAATATTTAAAATATAAAATGTGGCCAGCCATGGTGGCTCACGCCTATAATCCCAGCTCTTTGAGAGGCCAAGGCGGGTGGATCACTTGAGACCAGGAGCTGGAGACCAGCCTAGCCAACATGGTGAAACCCCATCTCTACCAAATACAAAAATTGGCCAGGTGTGGTGGTGTATGCCTGTAATCCCAGCTACTTGGGAGGTTGAGACCAGAGAATTGTTTGAACCCAGGAGATGGAGAATTACAGTGAGCCAGGATTGTGCCACTGCACTCCAGCCTGGGCTATAGAGTGAGACTCTGTCTCAGTAAAATAAAATAAAATGTCAGCTGGGCATGGTGGGCCATGCCGATAATCCCAGCAGTTTGGGAGGCCAAGCAGGGGGTGGATCAACTGTGGTCAGGAGTTCAAGACCAGCCTGGTAACATGGTAAAACCCCATTTCTACTAAAAATACAAAATTTAGCTGGGCATGGTGGCAGTCACCTGTAATCCCAGCTACTCCAGAAGCTGAGGCAGGAGAATCACTTGAACCCAGGAGGTGGAGATTGCAGTGAGCAATCACGCCACCACACTCCAGCCTGGGCAACAGAGGGAGACTTCGTCTCAAAAAAAAAAAAAATGTCAGCAGTGCTGAGGTTTACCAGCCCAGCTGCAGACTAACATTCAAGGGATGGGTAGGTCAGAAAACATAAGCTTTCTTCTGAAGTTCATGCCTTCTAGTCACACCTAATATCTTCTTTTGATTAGAATTTGGACCAAAGTAGCATGTGCTTGCCACCTGCTGCAGCCTCCAAGAAAAGAAATAATTCAGCAAGGAGTGTGTGGAACCTGAGGACCCATATCAATGTCCATCGCCTGCTGGATGTTCACAGGACTCACCATTTCTTCCATACATTCTAGGCCTCCAAACCACCCACCCCACATGCAAGGTGCTGAGCAGCAGACAGATGAGAAGATGAGAGGTGCTCACAGCACTGGTAGATGAACGGATAGTCAGATGGACAGAGGGTTGGACAGATTTGTCAGGATGGCAAAAGACTGAATCCTTGGTGCTCCCAGAGTGTGTGCCTGTGCTACATGTACTTTTCTGTGAGGGCAGAGTTGGCTCCAGCAACAACGCTCCTGCCCCCCGCGCTGTCGTGAGCTGTCGCGGAGAGCACTGAGAAAAGGTCATCTCCGCAGGGCTCTGGAGCCTCTGCAGGGAGTCAAGCAACTGGGCTTGACCTAGTGAAGCACAGGAGCCAGGAAGTCAGTGCAGACAAAGCCCGTTTGTCTAGAAGTAGCAACACATGGCTGGGCTGAGCCTGCCCTTGACAATGAAATCTGCGGCAGCTCCAACACTTGCTGGAGCCTGACCCTGTGTTCACGTTCTCATGCTGCCTCACCACGGCCCCTTTTCAGCTAAAAGTCTCTCAAATGTGTTTGCTTACTTTTACCCCTGGCAAATAATTTTATATTTCCAGTATTATCTGAAATTCTTGAATTTTAACTCTAAAAGGAAAAAAAAAAATCACCTTTTTTTTTTTTTTTTTTTTGTAAGACATCCAGTAGTATTGTATTTCTAAAGAATAGATCCGAGACACTCACAAAGGCTACCTCCTATTACATCTCAAATTCCACTTGGCGACAAAGCTTCCCGAATTTCCTCGTCTCTGAAGTGGGCACGATACTACCCACATTACATTCTTACTAAGAATCATAAAAGGGGCTTATTTCAATAAGAAACGACTAGAAATGGATGCCATGGATGAAAATTCAATTTACATCTAAATTTTCACGGAAGTATCTGGTGGGTAGAGCAACAAAAGCCGAGAATTTCACCCCATGCAGGGCGGGACGCTCTTCCTAGTTCCAGGCAAGCATGGGCCCTGTATCTTCTATATGCCTCTGTACAGAGTTGGGAGAAAGGAACAGGCGATCCTAGCAAATCAAAACGGAAACTGGGCTACATTTGTTACAATTTCACGCAAGATCTGCAACTTTCGAAAAATATTAGTACAGGCAGTACCCAACTTGGAAATGAACTGTCTTGAAAAAGTTAATTTATAAACAGACTGTTCAGAACCTGGAATGCAAAGTGTCTTTTATGTCCCAAAGGCTGATTGAATTTATAATCTATTTGGCATATTACATAAAGTAAAAATAGAAAACAAAACAAATGATGCTCTGATAGCATTTTAAAAACACATAAAAATACTTAGAAAAACAAATATGCAGCCCATAATTCACCTTGACCCAAAGCCCACACATGAGCTGGGCACTGGACCCCTGCAGTCCAAGTTATAACTGAAATGGGGTCCTGAGAAACTGAATAGAGAAGAATTAGAAGAACCCCAGCCTCAGAAGGACAGGGGTTCTGGTAGGAGAATAAAGTAGTCAAGCATCTCTCAACAGGAAGAGAAGGGTCTGGTACCTACCCAGAATATATACTCTAGCACAGAAGTGCTTCTGCTCACATCTAGAAAGATATGGGTATGTGAAAGAACAGCACCCACTCCGCCTGCTACCAAAGCAGACAAAATTAGCTGCCACTGAAAACAAGTGAGCCAGACCCTTGGCACCGCCCTACCAGGAGGAGGAGGAATGGGAATTCCCAGCACGCTCTGCAGCAGCAATGGACAGCCAGGGGTGCTCAGAGGCCAAAAGGAAGATGTTTCCACAGCTGCCAACAGTCGGTGTGGGAGTGTCCAGGGGTTACCTGTGTTTTTGATGGACCTGGCTAGATCAAGAAGGAACTTCCTGAGCTTTGTGAAAACTGTCCTACCTGATAAGGTTAATCAGGTTTCTGGTATCTTCAGAGGGGAACAGGGGACAAGAAGATAGAGACCCTGGGAATGCCTTCCTCAACACAGCACGCTCACACCTTTACAGCAGAAAGGGCACTGAATTCCAGATTGTTGCTGAATACGATTCCTGGATCTCCTCCAAATACAAACATGATGTGAAATATTGAAATCAGGTTTGAAAACTCAGAAGATTTATTATTCATCCACTTTATACCTTCTTTAGTCCTCCAAATAAAGTGTCAGTCTCCAGCTCAAATTCCTGGTCCAGTTCCTCTTCATGTTCTGACAAAAAAGAAAAAGAACAGCCTCCATTAGTCACAAAGCTAAACAAAACTGGGTTGGCTGAATAGCTGGGGCACTAAAAGAATTGGAATATGTCCTGGAAAAGCAGACGGTGGACTAAACTACAGGAACGGAAACATACCACATTCCTTGACCTTTCTTTCCAGTGTTCTGTGACCTAAGTTCCTGGAAATACATAGAGACACTGATGGAAATTTGGCTTGTAATAAGGGTCACAAAAGGAAAGATCAACAGAGAAGAGTTTCCAACACAGGAAAACATGGGAAGGGTTACAGCAAATGTCCCAAGCGCACACGCTGTTAGAAATGCTGACACCAACTATGCCCTAAACTATGCTGATCAGAGCTGCTATGATATAATGCTAACAAAATATCCTAAGATACTCATATAATGGTAATAAGCATGTTTATAAGTAAACCAGTTGATTTGAAACGAAAGATAAAATCTGCAAACACTGCTTGTACCAGGCACAGTGCAAGATACTAGGAATGAAATGGAACCACACTAGCGTGGCTTTTGTCCTCCTGGGGCTTACTGTGTACCAGGGAAGGTAAACAAACACATAATAAGAAACTACGATAGTGCTGATGAGTGCCATGAAGCAGAAAGGAATGCTGTGGGGGCCGATGCGGAGGTCTGTGCAATGTCCTGTAGGCAGCTGCATGGGTGTGAGCGGAGCTCAAGGGAATGCTCTAAGCTGGAGATACAAACTTAAGAGTTCTCAGTTAAGAGTAGGACAGAGCCATCAGAATGGCTGAGATTCACTCCTCCCCCACAAAAGGACAAAGAGTACATAGACAAGAATGGGGAAATATGAATGCTTATCAGATCAACCAAAGTATAAAAACCACAAACACCAAAAAGGAGCTACCCAGAAGGAAACCCCGAGAGAGAAAGAGCTGTCACTAAAATACAATCACGAACTAATGCTGATTTCAGAGTAGGATTAAGGGGCAGATTTACACACATTAGATGCAAACAGCAACCCCAGCCTCAGACCACAGGCAACACTTAGGAAAAACAGAAAAGGGAGGCAGGCACACTGACCGAGGGCACACGGGGCACACCTCTAGGAGCTCCAGCCACGGTGCACTCCAAGTGGTCTGGGAGTGTCATGGAAGTGTGCGACTGCAGTAGGGCGCTGGTCCTCTCTGCAACAGCTGCACACAGGACCACTGTGTGTGTGCGTGTGTGTGTGTGTGCACACCTATATGTGTGTTGCACTACACACAGACTCAAGTCCAAGGGAACAGTTGGTGAACAAATGACAAGTTATTGTGATCCAACAAAGAAATCCAACAAAGAATCTGAATTCATGACGGCAAAGAGGGTAGAAAAACTTTCTGCCTCGTCCCTCTTCTGTTTTAGCCTTACTTCCCCACAAAGTGCAACCTTTAGAAATGTCAGAACTATCCGGGATTAAAAGAAAGCGAAAACTTAAGCTCCTTTTTTGCTGCTGCTTTTTTAAGAGTTCATTCGAAAGCAGGGACATTTACACACTAACCTCAGATTTCCTGAGGCTGGAACATATCTCCCTCTAGTGGGAGAACGGAACCCTATGCAGACAGGAGAATTATGATGAAATCCTGCCTAGTGCTGTCCAGCAGAAATAGAGCATGAGCCACATGTAAAATGTTCAAGTTTCTTATAGCCACAAAGTTCAAAAAAAATTAATTTTACTTTATTCCAACACATCCAAAATTGTGTATCAATATGAAATCAATCTTAAACAATTACATGAGTTATTTTATATTCTAATTCTTTATAATGCAATTTACAGGTCATCTTTACAGCACACCTCAATTTGGACTGGCACATTTCAAATGCTCCCTATCCAGATGCGGTTCACCACTACAGTACTGGACAGCATAGCTCTAGACCAAAAATCCTTCCTCTTGTTTTAGAGAATTCACATAAATCACCCTTGTCTCATTTCTTGACACAAATGCTCCCTGACATAAACTTTAAATTATAACTTAAATCCATTCATGACCCGTTTGGAACTCACTGTCTTCAGAATGTCTTAAGTTAGCTGAAAATCCCCAGCTGCAGAATGTAGTCGATACAGGAGAACCTGCGGCAGGGCATCTTTCTGCAAGCTGCAGTCACCCTCAGGATTTCTGATGATGCTTTCTGGTAACCGCCCTTTGGGTCATTCTGCCCACCGCCCAGATAGAGTGGATTTATCAAGACAGAGGAATTGCAATAGAGAAAGTTTAAATCACATAGAGCTGGCTGGATGGCAGATGGGAGTTTTATTATTACTCAGATCAGTCTCCTGAAAATTCGGAGACTGGGGCTTTTTAGGGATAATTTGGCAGGTAGAGGGCTAGGGCTGATTGGTCAGGTGGGAGATGAAATCACAGGGAGTCAAAGCTACCCTGCTGTGCTCAGTTGGTTCCCGAGTGGGAGCCACAAGACCAAGTGAGCCAGTTTATCGAGCTGGGTGGCACCAGCTGATCCCTCCAATACAGGGTCTGCAAAATAGCCCGAGCACTAATCTTAGGTTCTACAATAGTGGTGTTATCCTTAGGAGCAATTGGGATGGTTTAGAATCTTGTGGACTCTAGCTGCATAATTCCTAAGCCATAATTTCTAATCTTATGACTAATTTATTAGTCCTATAGAGGCAGTTATATTTGTAATTTTTACACAGGCAGTTTTATTCTTAGGGAAGGACCTCAGACCTTAATTCTTTGAACAGAACTGGAGTTTCTATCCTAACTCAAATACAGTCAGGCAAGAGCCTGCTGCAAACAGAAAGAAGCATTCTGTGCTTGGGAATTCTCTCCCTATCACACAGGACCATCGGGCAGAACCCGCTCTTTCTTCCAGTGCCCTGGTTCTATTTCCCAAAATTCAGTGCTCTACAAAACTGCCTGAGAGCATAGAAATGAAGCAATTTCTGCTGATGAGCCCCGATTACCACATCAGCTATTGATTCTTCCCTCCTACAAAAGGATACATCAAAGTTCCATCCTACTACTGAGTGAGAGGATTTGCATTTTAATTGCTGCCAATGAGCTGTGGTGGTAAACCATTTACTTAAAACCTCTAACTAACCTACCCCTTTTCACTCCAGTATTTTGATGGGAAATTAATTCTGGGGTGGGGGTAATAAGAGGGCATAATCAGAAATAGAAGATCATGCACACACACACCCTACTCTGACACAAGTCACTGCGAGGGTGCAGCATACTCAGTGATGACACACGTGCCCTGCTGTTTCTATGCATTGGAAAAATTCTAATCAGCTCCTACTAATTCTTTATTTCTCCAGGAAGCCATGAGTACAACAGACTATGGTAGCAATTGAGAACTGGACAACAGACTATGGTAGTAATTGAAAATTGGGTGTATATGTGCCACATTTTCCTCGTCCAGTCTATCATCAATGGGCATTTGGGTTGGTTCCAGGTCTTTGCTATTGTAAACAGTGCCGCAATGAACATACATGTGCATGTGTCTTTATAATAGAATGATTTATAATCCTTTGGCTATATACCCAGTAATGGGATTGCTGGGTCAAATGGAATTTCTATTTCTAGGTCCTTGAGGAATTGCCACACTGTCTTCCACAATGGTTGAACTAATTTACACTCCCATCAACAGTGTAAAAGTGTGCCTGTTTCTCCACATCCTCTCCAGCATCTGTTATCTCCAGATTTTTTAATGATTGCCATTCTAACTGGTGTGAGGGGGTATCTCAATGTGGTTTTGATTTGCATTTCTCTAATAATCAGTGATGATGAGCATTTTTTCATATGTGTGTTGGCTCATGTATGTCTTCTTTTGAAAAGTGTCTGTTCATATCCTTTGCCCACTTTCAGATAGGTTTGTTTTTTTCTTGTAAATCTGTTTTAGTTCTTTGTAGATTCTGGATAGCAGCCCTTTGTCAGATGGATAGATTGCAAAAATTTTTTCCCATTCTGTTGGTTGCCAATTTACTCTAAAGATTGTTTCTTTTGCTGTACAGAAGCTCTGGAGTTTGATTAGGTCCCATTTGTCTATTTTGGCTTTTGTTGTCAATGCTTTTGGTGTTTTAGTCATGAAGTCCTTGCCTATGCCTATGTCCTGAATGGTTTTGCCTAGGTTTTCTTCTAGGGTTTTTACGGTGTTAAGTCTTATGTTTAAGTCTTTAATCCATCTGAAGGAGGGCACAGAAAAGACGGGCTTCTAACGATAGGAGAATTTAGTGGTAAGCAACTCTTAAATATTCATCTGCAGATTATCCTACAGAAAGTGGGTGGATTTTCATGACACTATTGAGGCCTAGGGGCTCCTTCTTTCTTCTTCCAAACTCCACTTAAGGAATAAAGAAGTGATTTAGAAATAAGCCAAGGAAAAGCAAATCAGATATGTCAATGGATGTAAAAGAAGACACTAAGTAAATGTTCTTTGAACCTCCCAAATAGAGCTGCTCATCTGCTACTCACATGAGAAATTCTGAGTCTATGGGGCAGGCCACCAGGTGTGCAATTTGCATGGGAAACTTCAGAGCTCCTGGAGGAAGCAGAAGCAGCCTGGACTGAAATGGAAACTCTCAAGCCAAGAGTGAGTCATAAGCTCTCCGCATGTTCAGTGTGTGGGGTCTGACATGGAGCACTGGCTAGGGAGCAGAAGGAATGAAGAGCTGTGAGTCTAACACTAGGGCTTGCCTGCAAATGCCCTCCAGCCCAGGCTCTGCCCCACTGCATTGTCTAAGGTTTATTAGAAGTCTTAAGAAAGCAGATTATCTGGAAGCTGACACACCCCTATGAAAGGATCAAAAAAAAAAAAAACAAAACTTTCCTCTAACTTTCTTAGTTCATGATTAAGGCCCCTATAACAAAAGGCACCTTAACAAAAGAAAAGCATATAAATTTACTTAATGTAAGTTTTACATGATATGGGAGACTTCATAAGGAAATGAAGACCCAAAGAAACAGATAAACTTGCGTATTTTTATGTTAGGTTTGATGAAGATTGGACAGTCACGG